AAAGGTATGCAATGAAATGTGTCCCACAGATACAAAATGCGTAAACCCCTCAAATGCGGATAATTGTTCTGTGCGACACAGCAAAGTATTTATATTCCTCATCAGCATCAACAGCAGAGTTAAACTAGTTAAATTTGACATGTATACCTCTCGGATACCACTAGCAGATCAATCCTATTTCATTTTATCGCTTATATATATCGATTTCCGATAGCAAGAAAGGTAGAGTCTTCCAATATATATTATTGATTAACTATATAAATTGCATCAAGATTGCATAACTAACATCCAAGTATAAGTTTTTGTACTCTTGAGTCAGGTACCCAGGTGCCGACCATAAGAAATGAGATCAATTCCACGTGTGCTTAACTTTGAGAATATATCTAACAGTATCTCGTAGTTCTTCATACTTATGTAAGGCTCAAAATAAGGATATAAAAGAGTTGAAAATCAATTCATCAGCATCAACAAATGATTATTATTTAGGCTTAGCCTTCAACAGGCCTAAGCATCTTGAGTGTATTTGCGCCAATTACGCACAATATTGGTGCAGAGGCAATTATGAGATAACAAGTTGACTGCCTGCAGCTCCACGCATACTTTAATGAGTTCGTCTTTAGGCTGATTTGACTGGCGCCTTTCACAATTGAAATGCATTTCCTGTTTGCAGCCCACATAGCCGCAATAAACATGTAAGCATAAAAACCCATCAATGCCACATCCAATTTGGCAGCACATCAAAAGCTGTTTTCGAAAACAACAAAAACAACGAAATCGAAAATCCTTTCAAGATGCTTCTGCTCCTGCTGCTGTTGTTGCTGCTGCTGCTGCTGCTGCCCCGAATGGTGGCATTTGCTTGCGCTTCAATGCATTTACGAGCCGTAATTATTATTTTAATTTTGTTTAATCCCAAAGCAGAGAAGTGCACTTGGCCAGCTTGAGTTACTTGTTTCGACAATTTACGACGCATCCAAGAAGCTGCAACAAAAGCGAGGGGCCAGCGGGCCAGCGGGCCAGCGGCGAACAGCATGCAGCACACCTTATTAGCTGGTGGGCGGTTTCATGCAATTGCAAGTCAAAATCTCTCAACATAATTACGCACTCTCCCTGTCTGTCTGTCTGTCTCTCTCTCACTCTCGCTCACTCTCTCTTTCCCTCTCTCTCTATCTTTCTCATTATTATTTTTGTTGTTTGCCGCTTTTACGATTTGCCTACTTAAAGTGACAACGTGACGCCGGATGAGGAGCTAGTTGGGTTGGGGCGGTTGCACTGCAGCAGGAGGTGCTGGGGGCGATGATTGTAATTTGCCGCTGGCTTTTGGTTATTTTTAATGTTTCGCTTGTCAGTTTGCAGATTTTCGTAGCCGTTTCTTGTGCCGCATTTGCAGCGTTTTTATGCGTTCGTCATCCGTTTGTCATAAAAATTCAACAACAACCAGCCCGACAGCAACAGCGATTTTTAATTTTAATTTAATATCTAATAATTGTTGTTGATTTGGCTCGCTTTGTAATTTTTCGTGCAGCTATTTATGCATTCAAACTTGGCGAACTGCATTTCGCAAAACATGCCTCTTTAATGGATTTCTCTGATGATGCACAATATCATTAAAAAAAAATCTTTTGAAAATGTTTTAATCAGGCTATATGTATGTGTGGTGGCATTTCGGATTGCTTGCCAATCGTGTGTGGTATGAAATTCCTAATTGTTTACCTATGCGAAACATATATTTTCTTAAGAAATATTTAATGTTATTTTATTTTACTTTTCAATCGTTTTAAGTCTCTCACTTTCATTTTAAAACTACATTATATAATTAAATCAATTACCAAATGTTTTTGTCACATTTTTTAAATGATTACAATTTTATATTGTTTTATTTATATTTCTTATTTAATGTTTCGCTTGACTTCATGTTTATTTTAATTAACTTGCTTACAAATATGTAGTTTTTATTGATTTGAAATAAAAGACATTTTGGTCTGCAGGTTTGGTATAATTCTTTCGACAGATGGATTTCTAGCATGCAATTAATATTTTTAAAAACATTTAAGCTATTGTGAAATTTAGCAAAAGCAGTTACTAACATGAAGATAATATATAGCTTATATATAAAGATAATATGAAGCTAGTAAATTGATAACCTTACAAAAAAGTGGGTTAGCATGATTAGAAATTTAGATCATTACGTATTTAACTAAATATTGAATGCAATAAAAAATATTTTAAAAATTTCAATATAGTCGAAATGGCTAGAAAGAAACATGTTCTAAGATTAGATAATAAGGTAGTAGACTCTTACTCAATACCATTTTGTAAAATTGACTTTAAGATGAAAGAGGGAGTCACTTTATCACTTCGTCTTTAAGTAAATTTTACCAAATATTTAAAAAAAAAAAGCATCCTTTTAATGATCGATCGAAACAAGCCTCAAACAGATCATACAAAAGAAATATGATGAAAAATAAGAGCGTTAATTAAAATTGATGAAGATTAATAATGGCGATTTTTATTTACATTAACCCCTCTCATTTGAAAACTCCACGTGCTCTTTGAAATTAGACTTCCAATCAATCGCAACCGGTTTACAAACTTAATACATGGCTCATAATATTACCCAACTGACTTATTTGGACACATGTACATTTGTGCAATTCGTATGTCATTTCAATAATAATAAAATGTCAAATTCACAAGCAAACACTTCAGATATTATATTAGCGGCGGCATTTTAGCCTCGATCTGTGGCAGGTCAAGTTGAAAATTCTATGAAAATAGCTTGATTTCTACGAAGCTCTTAGCACTTAATTAGCGTGCAAAAATCAGAAACAAACAAAAATGATTAACTCATTAAATGCAAATACAAAACGAAAATTCAGCGAAATAAATTTAGATACGTCGGAATGTCATTGAGGGGATGGATGCTTGCAAATAGAGTTCTGAAACGTTGGCCGCATAAATTTATGTGTGCTACGAATCTTAAAGCAGTCGGCCAACAAAATAATTACGCGATAACTAGCCGTGGAAAACAAGTTGCAGGCTGAAACAGCAGTCCCTTGCCGCATGCCCCTTGCCCATAGCCCGGCCCCTACTTGGCAACAATGCAAAGCTAAACTCTGTATTAATTTGCAATTAATGCAGCTAATTATATTTAATTAAATGAACGAGCCAAGCGGCAGCAGCAGTGCCGAACAATGCAAAACTGCAAAGTTGGCGAGCTCGTGTCGAATGCACACATACCCTATAGATACATCTAGCGGCCAGTTACAGATACAGATACAGATACAGATAGAAATATAAATGATAATTTGTGGAGCTTGGACACACTGGGAAAAATTGTAACGCGCAGGTTGCGGCCACTGCCAAATCAAACTGATTATTGCTAATGCTATTGTTGTTGTTGTTGTTGTTGCTGTTGTTGTTGTTGCTGGTGTGAATTGCTGCTGCTTATTGTATCCAACAGATACATTTTACAAGCGAGCGGCGCGCGCGTATTTTGCAAAACTGTCCGCGACTCATTCAAATGGCAATTGTAATATTTAGATATATATTTAATAATTTTGTTGTTGTTGTTGGGGTGGCATCATTTGCAAGGCTTAGGCACACATTAAACTATTTATGTTGTTGTTGTTATTGTTGTTGCTTATTTTTTATTTTAGTATCTCACAGATACAGATTTAAGCGGCTCATTGTTGCAAATTGCCAGCGCTGCGACCGTCGCTAAACATATGATTAGTTTAGTTTGGCTGCCTGCCTGACTGCTTTATTATTATTTATTGTATTTACTTATATTATTAGATGGCTTCTATTTTTGTGCTCACAACTAAAGCAAAACCAAATAAATAAATACATAAATACATAGCGGGGATGGCTACAATTTTCTTGTATAATTCTGAGCTGTTCTGCATTTACAGATCGAATGACGCCGTTTGCAATTTGATCGGTTAATTAAAGCATTACCACTTTAATCGCATCGCAAAAAAATCACATCAATTTATTATATTAGACGGTAATACGATGTCAAGGCAAAGATTTGCATAAAACTTGCATTTGCCGCAAAATGCGTGAGAGGCAAACTTTTATCTGAGATCTTCACTCCATATATAAGAGTCAGACTAATGACATTATAAGTCTTGCCTAATAATTAAACTGCAATTAGCTAATGAGACTTTAGCTAATACTTGTATTAACATTTGAGTAGCTTAAATTTTTACATGATGAGTACAAATAATATGTAATTAAAATATTAGATGAATATTTAAGATGAGACTAATGATTTTAAGAGTGTTGCCAAATGCTTAAACTTCAAACTAGCTAATGAGATTTTAAGATTTGTGTAGGTTAATTTTTTTCATAATGAGAACAAATAAGTATCCAAATAAAATATTGAATGTGCTTTACTTTGAATACTGACGAAAATTTGAATTTAAAGGTCAATAAGCTAATGAGATTTTGGGTAATACTTATTTTAAGATAACTATAAGGTTAAAGTAAAATATTTTTTGGGCCTAGAAGACTTTTAACCGTTTATAGGAGATATAAATTAAAGTTAGAAATTATTGAAGTGCATCAAATAAATATAATTTTAATATAATTTTCGGATGTTACATACAAAACATATATCTGACTACTAAAGGAGGACTTAAACCAGCTGAAAAAATTAAAATAAAGTGATCTCGAAGCAATTTTCGAAAAGCTTGAAAAGATTTCAAAACACTTAAAGAACATGTACATCAAATCAATATTCTATATAAAAATGTTGGACTGTTTCTAATCGGCTGATAATTAATAATAACTTATGATTATTGAATCTTGATATACAAAAGACTTGAAGCAGTAACTAATGTAATTTTACAATTACAGAAAAAAAAAAACTTCTTATTTAAAGTGTAGAGACTACCAATAAGTAATCAATCAAGTTTAAGATTCTCAACTTATTTAACATTTAATGTGCAAAAATTAATGAGCAAAAATATCTTGAAGAAATATTTTTTAAAAATTACCGTCTTTTTGTAGAATTAAAGCAGCAATTGACAATTTTGTGTACCGATTTGGTTTCTTGAATTGATGCTCAAGCCGGCAGCTTTAATTGTAGGCACTTTTCTAACGTTAATTCAGAAATTTTCGGAACTCTTTGCCAAGTATTTAAATTCATAAAAACCACTGATAAACACTTTATGAGTTTGAGTAAAAGTTCAATTTCAATGGATCACCAAAGATTGTTACTTTTTATATATTTTTTTTATTATTTTTGTGTGGGTTTTTAAACACTGAAAGCACTTCGGAACGATCGAGCTGATATTGAGAGTAATTAACGGAACATTTTTATGCACTTTGTCATCAAACACACAAACACCGATGCTGCAGTTGCAGTTTATAGTTGCTGTTGCAGTTTTTTTTTTTTTTTGTTTTTTTTTGATTTTCCTTTTTTTTTTTTTTTGTTTACTGAGCCACACGCGACGATTTTTAAGAGATAAGCGCGCGCGAAATCTGTTAAATACTTTTGCTCAGGTTGCACAGGCTGCTGCAATGTGGTTGTTGCAGTTGCAGTTGCAGTTGTAGTTGTTTTGCAGATGCAGCTGTTAAATGTAGCCTGCCTGGCACACGCCGGCAATGGAATGCAAGAATGCACACGCGTTGCACCCTGTGTGTGCGCGTGTGTGCGTCCGACTGTGTTTGTGTGTGTGTATGTATGCGCGCTCAGCAACGTAACGGTGCGTGAGTGGTACGTACAGGCGCAAAGTCGTCCACAGACTGAATGAACGTGTGGCGCACAAACGGCGCTTGGACCCCCAACAATCATCAACATAAGTAGCAAAGCGCGGCCACAACAACAACAACAACAACAGTCCACGACAACTACAACGACGACGACATCGACAACGACGACTTACGACAAACACGAGCAAACAAAAAAGGTTGCCGAAGCCTCGGCCGAAGCCGAAGCAAGTGGGCCCAAACCTCAGGAGGAGCAAGCGAGCGAGACACAACAGAGAGCGAGCGCGCGACTGACAGTGGCAGTGGGAGTGGGATAGAGAGAGAGAGAGAGAGAGAGTGCGAGACAGAGAGCGAGAGCGCAAACCAGACAGAGTCAAACTGACGTCGACGCAAGCAGCGAGTGAATGGTTGGCTGAGTGGGTGGGAGAGAGGGGTGGCTGTTGCTGCCTGTGGTCTTGTCTCAGCTAATATGTGAAACAAAATGCGAGCAGCGTCGACAGCGGCGTTGACTGCGCAGGAGCGCAGCGCTGCGCACACACACACAACGTGCACCATTGAAATAATCGTACTCGTTGTCGTATTTTATTCCGTCGCTGCTCCGCCCGCTGCCGAGTGTTGTTAAAATAAAAATAATGACGTCATTAAGCGCACAAATGAGCACTGCTGCTGCTGCTGCCGAAGACTGTAGCAGCGACTGCGACTGCGACGTGGGCAGCATTTATAACTGTTTTTAGTGCAGGAGAAGTGAACACTTGACGAAGCTCCGGCCCCCCACACTGAACGAGCCAAACTCAGCTCCACACACACACAGAGAGATAGAGAGAGAGAGAGAGAAAGAGTGAGAAAATATGTGTATATGTGTAATATGTGTGTGAGCGTAGAGAGCGAACACGCGTGCAATGTGAGCGCAAATTTTGAGCAATTGTTGTTTTTTCTCAATTCTTGTTGCCGGCATCGGTGGAGGGGCAAACATCTGGGGGCTGGCGGAGAGGGTGGGTGTTGCACTGATGACCAGTGCCTCTCGTCCCACAAGAAGGGGAGAGGAGGGGCGCGTGGGCGATTTGGCGACTTCTAATTTATATTTACATATTTTAATTTTTCGAGTTGCAAATTGTTTTGAGGTTTGCATTTCTAATGATACAAAAATCAAATTTGCATCTTTGAGATAAGCAACCACATTTGATTCGTAGTCGCATTTCTACTTATATACGTATATAAATATATCTGAAAAGCTGAAAAATGAGTTGATCAATTATATTAAAGCATTTTTAATGAATATGAATAATTAGTTTTACTTAATTGCTTATTTCAAATTATAGTTTAAAAGGTTTTCTATATACTTTGCTTTAATTATTTACTGATAGAAAAATTTTTTACAGAGTTTAAGATTAAGTTATTGATGTAAATATAGGTTTTTCAAATATGTATATATTTATTGAATATGAATCAACCGTTATACATTCAATATAATAATTATAATAAATAGTTTCAATTGCTAAAATTGATTATTTCAAAATAAAAACATAATTTTGCACACATTTTCTTAAAACATTCCATTCTCATTCGTTTAAGTTGCTTAAACACTGCTAAAATCCGATTACTTCAGAAGTCTACATTTGTCACTTGTCGCCGCATTGAGAACAATTCGAAAAGTTTTCCTTTTGGTCAAGAAATTAATAATTAAAATGCCAATCCGCAGACCTTTCAACTCATCACTAGCTCTCTCTTTCTCTCTATGTATATAATATATGGATATGTATATATATATTTAAATCTGCTGCTCCGATTACCAAACCGATTTCGACTCGAACTCGACTCAGTTTGTCAACTATCTGCAATTGCTCTTCCTGTTTCACAGTTGCTCCTTTTCTCGGCCGGGACACAAGCTGAAAAGTGCCAATAAATATGGAGCATTTGCAACATTCTACCCCCTCCCCCCATCCCTACTTGCCAAACCCCCAACCTGCCCCTCTGTCAACTACTCTCTTGCTCTAGCTTCTGCACTAATTCACATTTGATGTTTTGTTGTCTGTTGCGATGTTATTGTTGTTGTTGCTGCTTGCTGCTTGCATTTTTCTGGTCAATGAGGTTACAGTCAAGTCACTAGACAAGCCAAAACTGAAACAGCAACGAAGCTTCAGTAGCAACCCACCCCGCCCAGCCCCCCTTGGCGACCTACCTTGACTTTGACCAGTTGCCAGTTGCCAGTTGCCAGTTGGTCAGTTCGCAGGGCAGGCAAAAGAAGATGCAACAACGCCAACTCGTGCGGTCTATGCAACCGGTCGGTCTATCGGCCACTCGGCCACCTCTCCGTCTAAGCCATGGCCAGAACCAGAGCTAGAGTTGTAGCTGACGCTGGGAGCTGGAAGCAGGGAGCAGGGAAAAGGGAACTGGAAGTCTGCTGTCGCAGTCACTGCCACAGCCACCCACCCAGCTCATTTCAGCTTCAACTATCGCTCAGCTATCGGAGGTGTCGATGACGTCGTCGTCCATCGTCCATCGTCTGTTGTCTCTCTTCTCTCCTCGTCTCTCGTCTCTTGCCTCTTGTCTCTCTTGTCTCTCTTGTCTCTGTTGTCTGTTTTCTCTTGTCTGACCACCGCAAACTCTTCTGTCTGCATTTGTTGTTTATTATTGTTTGTAATACTTAGCTGAAAGGTAAGTATATGGACTTTCTAAGCATATTTGCATATGAACAACAACACTGAAATTGTATCTTTTACTAAATACTACCCAATTTATTTCAAGGAAATCGTCTATTTAATATCAGGGATATCTGCATCATCTGTTATCATAATATAATATAATGCCTATTTTATATATCAATGAAAGTCTATCTAATTCCAAATACTGTAAATTTTAGATATTCTGAATATTCTTTCTCAATTTATTTTCTATTTTTCTTATTATTATTATTTTTACTAAACTAACAACTTACTAAGTACTATCAGTTTTATACCAGGGAAATACCAATTTTATATATTTTTACTCAAGTGACTTTCTATTTGTCTAAAATGTCATCTCTCTTTTTGTAAACCAATTGAGACGTTTTAACATTAAATTAAGCAGACTTTACTCAAACGACATTAATATTTATTTATCTAACATTTATGACTGGTGTAAAACAGAGGAAATTGAATTAAATAGTTTTCTTTAGCTATAATTAACTTTACAACATCAATAGTCATTGAATCCTTGAAACTATTCAAAACTCCAACTCCACATTTCGTTTTGATGTTGACCTATTTTATACTACCTTTAAGTGAGTTGTGTTTGATTTATGTTCTAAATATTTATACTCAATTTTGTTTCACATCAATTATTTGTAATACATATATAGATATATATATGTAATATATAATTTGTTTAATCAAGTGTTACACATAGAGCATCCAATTAGTGGCAAGTCTGTCGTTGGCTATCCATTATAGCCAATTTTGGTCAAATATTTAAGTGCTGTTGCCACTTCAGTTGGCTGTTTTCTGTTTTACTCGGTTCGTTGTTGTCGTCAATCTGACTTGGCCTGCTGCACGGACGGACTCCGCACTTGCAATCCTGCTCCTTCTCCTTCTCCTTCTCCTTTTCCTTCTCCTGGCCGGCTCATCAACTAAATTTTCGAAATTTTCACGTTGTCTCTGGCACTCTTTCCCTCCTCCGCAGCCCTCCCCCCGTTGCATACCCTGCCTGTTACACACACATTGCAGTTGTCTTTATGTCTAATTTTTGTGCAGCGTTTAACCGGCAGCTATAAAATTGTATTACCGTTAAATGCAGCACCGGCGAGCCATCGTCTAATTTACGTTAGCCGGCAGCAAGTGGCTGGCAGGGGGGGGATGAAGCGGGAAGCGTGGGGCAGCAGGCTGCCCACTTTCCATCTTGGCTTGATTGTCATTCGTTACGTTGGCATCGTTCAGGCCATGGCCAACAAACTGATTAAATTCAGCACGCGCCCTGCGGGCATCTTAGAAACTTCTTCTTCTTCTTCGTCTTCATGCTGCCTCTGCTGCTGCTGCTGTCGCTGCTTTTGCTTCTTATTGCAGTCTCGACTCGGCTCGACTCTCTGCCAAGACTGGCAGAAGTGGTGGTGTTGGTAGTGGGAGAAGGACAACAATTGGGTCTCTGACTCACTCACTCACTCAGTCTGTGAGGCCAGCTCGAACCCTCATCAGCTAACTGAGAAGCTGAGCAGGAGAAAACTCGACGCTCTACATAAATTTGAAATTAATGTTTTCTAGCACATACTCTCCAGCTCTTCCCCTCCCTCTGCCTCACTCCCTCTCCCTCACTCCCTCTCCCTGACTTCCTCTCCCTGACTCCCTCTCCCTGACTCCCTCTCCCTGACTCCCTCTTTGTTTCGCTGTCTTTGTCTATCTCACACCCCCTTACGCTGGCAATTTGTATTCGTTGGTGCTGCTTGTCATGGCCTGTCTGTATGCCTTCTCTGTCGCCCTCATCCTCTACCTCTCCCGCACCCCAATCTAAGTGCTTACATGCTTTCTGTAATTATCATTGCCATTCCATTTGGC